ACACCTGTAAATTTTCTCTCTTAGTAAAAGATCTGCAGCAGCCCGGAGACGTAAGCACAATTGGCTGAACTCCGTTATCAATTTTCGGGTATTATTTTTCCGCTTTTATTTCGCATTCTCACTAATCTGGTTATAGGGAAATTACTTGTACTCGGTTTATTTTCCTAACAAAACACACACAGAATGTCCATTAGTGTTTTTCGGCATTTTCTCGGAACATTGTGTATTTACACCCAAAAGTCACTTGCGGTCAGATCTGCATTTTGAATACTCTCCTCTATAGTCTCTTCAACCCACATTTCCTTGAGAACGAGATGGAAATCCATGAAGGACCAAGGCGATTGTTTGAAGGTCATGATCCATGGAGGGATGTTTCGTTCCAATGATTCCCATGACTTCTTTTGAGCCTCATCTATACTAATTTTCTCGTACCCAAGATTCTTCAATGTCTCCCCAAGCACATGCGTCCTTGTGATCATGTAAACTTCGCAGCACTCCAATTCATGTTCACCTGTGATCAACTCCAAGACTATTTTATTAATGTTGGCCAAAACTTTATCGGAATATTTCTCGAATTTGAGTTCCTCAACAGCAGGCTTGTCTTCACCAGGCTCAGTGGATTGCTCTGCATCTTCCTTTTCATCCTCTTTTGGTGCCTCTTCTGCAACTTCTTGTACAACCTCTTGTTTCTGATCGGTTTCCTCGTTGCGTTCCTCTTCCAGGAGAAATCTGAATTCGTCTTCGAGATAACACATTGCTCGGTTTAGAATCGTGCTGGTGCGATTGATTAAAGGGCCTTGTTTCAAATCTGGTTTGATGTGTGCTGATAGATCTTTATACAACTTCGTCATCTGCCCAACAGCTTTGAAGAACAACGGATCATCATCAGGAAGAAGATAAACCTTCACTCTTGTGTCGGATGAGGCTGATGATTCAAGGATGGATAGTTCCTCTTCGAAAAGACGGAAATATTTTTCCATCAACTCCGGAATTTCTAAACCTGCATCTTCAACCTCCTTCTCCGCCTCGTTGTCCTCATTCTCCTTCTCTGCTTCCATCTCGGCCACCTTCTCCTCAGCCTCCTCATTTTCCTCTACCTCATTCTTCTATTTGGCCTCGGCCTCAGCCTTCTTCTTCTCGGCCTCCACCTTCTTCTTCACTGCCTCCGCCTCCTCCTTCTCCTCTATGATGGAGGAGAAATTTGATATGAACTGTTCACTGTTCAATGTCTTCAAAGGCATTTTCCAGGGTATATGGTGGAGGAATAGGTTCAAGTTCCCCTCCATTTTCCATCTCTTCATGATTTTCACAGATTTCAGTTCCGTTTTCCTCTACTTTCTCCGTCTGGTCATCTGCGGCAGTCGTCTCTTCATTCTCTTCCTTTTTCGACTCCGATTTAGACAAAGTATTGTCGGCGTCAGACTTCTTTTCATCATCAGCCTGGTTATTGGCTGAGGTATCGGTCAAGGAGAAAAAAAAAACATTGAATAAAGTTGTAGAAGGTAACAAAACGGAGATATGAAGGTTTGGAGAAAACTATGGTCGCATTATCTAATTCTTTCTGAGAAACAAACTGGATTTTCCTTCTTTTTCTTTTTGTTGTTTTAATTTCTATGATATGAAAATGAAAATTGAAATGGTCGTGGTGGTGGTGAAATGTAAGGACGGGACGGGAAATATGACAGGGAAGGACTTGTTTTGGTGTTTCATCCGTTTTTTTAGGAGGATTGACCAATGCTTGCCCTAATTTATCCTCTTTTCGCATCTTTATTTTTCTTACGATAAACTATTTATTCAGCCACCCATCTATTCTCACGATTCTGTTTTGGTCATTCTATTATTTTATTTTCAAAATCATATATATTGTAATTTTAGGTATGATTTTGAAAAAATAAAGAAAGTAATTTGGTGATCAAAACAGAACCACACGAATAGTTACGTGACTAAATACGTAGTCTACCTTAAAAATAAGCAAAATTGTTGACATGGTAAGACTTATTTTATCTTTTTCAATGATGACATGACATTATCTTTCGGTAACGCGTTAGTATCACTGTTAGTTTTGTATCGACATGTGACCAAAACATATTATTAAATATGATTTTGGGAAAAAAATAATTGAGTGATCAAAACAAAACTACAACAATAGATGGGTGGCTGAATACATAGTTTACCGTTTTCCAATTTATCTGCTTTCCCCTGCTTCATCGGTTAATCAGGATTTTGTATAGAATACATTAACAGAATCTTTGAAAGCAACGGCTACTTAATATTATATATTATAAATGGGGGATGTTCTATGACTTGAAACCAATTCATGCATGTGCTTGAAGAAGAAGGGGTTGGGTTCAACATCAATCCATCTTGTTTCAATTAATTACAACATGATATTTCATTTAGTTGTATTTATACAAGTATAATTATACAAAATCAAAATTAGTACCATTATAAATACATTAATTACACATTTTTACATATCATTCAAGCTAATATTGGTCCATTATCATTTAACTTGCTATTTAGAAAATGGTGTTGTTCATAGCGTAGATGTTGGTTGGGAATGCCCTCAAAATCAAATGTTGTATGCTGGTGTGCATTACTGAGATGATAGTTGTAGCTTCATTTGTATGTTCTTCTTTTTTGACCTGAAAAAAATAAACGATACAAAAATTAAAGATGATCAAGATAAGACGTTTGAGACCGAACTAATTCGGTGGCCGACCAAATTAATCGAACTAACTCGGTTCGATCGGGTAATTCGGTTAAAATTGAAAAATGAACACCCTATCCTAAAATACTAGATAATGTGAGGGTATTTGGAAAAATAAATTGACCATTAATTTTATGTAGTATATTGTGAATCATATAAGTTTATAATTTATATGTATGAGAATGATACTTTAAGAAATTGCATGAAATTGAGAGATTTTTTTAATAGTCTAGAATGATTACTAGGTATATTATTTGTTTATTATCTTTTTTTAGTCATTGACAACGCATGAGTCTTTGATTCATAAAAATCAAAACATAAAATGATAAGAGATGACATGAGTCTATAAAACAAAAAGATCATACTAATAATGAAGTATGAGAGGATTGAATAGAATCTTTGATTCATTAAGTTAAAAGTTAAATAGAAACATGATTCATGCATCGTCGTGGGAAATGAGTCTTAAGTCCATTTGATTGAGGAATTCATCGTAGATATTTAACTTAATTTTCTAAGTTCAATGTGATAAAATAAAACTATGAAAAGGCACATTGTGTACATCTTTACCTATTAATGTGGCAAACAATGTACATACATAATTTGGGTGATCCTTGTGAGATGGACTCGATAAATCGGTCGAGCTGCAAGAATGAATTTTATTATTTTAACAAATTCATAGCTTAGGATTTGGGTGGTCCTAATGAGACATACTTGATGAATTCAGTAAATTATTAATTAGATGTTAAGCTATTAACGATTTCATAACCCTAAATTAGATGATCTATATTATGATAGACTTGATCAAATCATATAAGCAAGTGCGAACAGTTAACCACCTTCTATGAAAGATTTTGTGTCATCTTTCTAGAACACTTATGAGTACCTTGAAGTATTATTTGGCAAAAATTTTAAACTATCTCAAAACTAAAATAAATCTAAGAGTAGTCGTGTGTAATGAGTTAATCCTTATGTTAACAAGAACAAAGTTCATTCACTGTATATTAATGTGTTATGAGTTTTCAACGTCTCTTTTTCTTATAGTGTTTACTTCGGTTAAAAACTTGTTTTCCTTTATTTCGAGAAAAGGTCAACACTATATAGAGTTTCACTTCCTTATTTTGGGTATATAAAATTTAAAAGATTATGTTGACCTTGAAGATAATGTCCAATTTTAAAAATGAGTATAGATGAAATTACTTTTAAAACAGTGATTACACATCATATTTAATTTATTTTATTATTTTTTTTGTTAGTCAACATCAACATCTTTGTTTTATAATTGTATTTTAACCAACAATCATGTGGTAAGCAAGGGGCCATGGCCCAAAAATTTGAAAAATTTTAATTTAGATCTTTAAAATTTTAAAATATTTAATTTGTTTTCCATAAAAATTTTAAAAAATCAGATTAATTTTTAAATTTTTTTAATATTCTTAATTAAACCCCTCTCATAATTTTTAAAAATTCTCATTAAACCTCTACAAATTTCAAAAAAAATTAATTATACTTTTTTTTTGAAAGAATGTAAACTGAACTCTTCAAATTTTTTGAAAAGTTTAATGTAAACCTCTAATTTTTTTAAAGGTTTAAGTTAGACCCTAAATTCTATCATTAAATTCCGTCATACACAAAAAGTTCACCAATGTAAGGTTATATTTTTGTTTTTGTTAGATTGGTGCAACCATCTGAATATCTTGCTACTACAGGAACATATGAACTTTCAGATATTGGTATGATCGCCGAGCAAACCCCTATAACAAAGGATTGGTTGAGAGCTTCAAGGAGATATTCGCTCTAGCATGCCCTTAACCAAGAACAAGTTCAGGGTGAAGTTCCCTGGGGAACCTGTGTTACTAACACAACCCTGTCGGATCTTTGTGCACATTATAAAACTACATAGACAGGGACATGTACTATTACCAAGTCACGGTGTAATAATAAGCAGAGATGGATCGAAAAAAAGTTAAAAAAACAATTCTTTAAAAAATTTAAATTTTCATATATTCAAAAACTTTCGTTAGTAAAACAAAACAGCTGCTCACTTGGTAGTTGTTATGTCCGCTGCCAATTACAAAACATCTTTCAAGTTTCCAAGAAATCACTGGAATTACGGACAGTAACAAGAAACAGAGTTAATGCGGGACCTGTCTATACCTATAGTGCTTTTGTTTTTAGACCCAGCTTAGCTGCTAATTTGCATTAATAATCACAAAAGATAAATTATTTTTTCAATAATACTTACTTTTTGTGAATTACTTTAAAAGAAAAATAGTTCCATTGGAATGCAAATATGCAATTTGAGTTCGAGTTCGAGTAAGGTGAAATAAATCACTGTACTTAGCTGTGTAGGGGGAATTCCGACTGCCACGCAATGCAAATCCAATACTATTTTCACATTGGGTAAATTTCTCTCTTCCCTTTTAATTATTTAAAAGAAAACAGGTGGGCAGTGTGTATAGTTATAGAAGTAGACCAGTACAGTAATCAAAGCCCAAGTAATGAATTTTCATTTTTTTAACTTTTTTTCTTCTATTTCATCAGATATCTTTGTCCTGAGATAAAACTCCCACACTAATGTTGTATTGGAGGGATAAAAACTAAACCAGGAGGTGAGGTAGGTGAGTTCTCATTAGCTGAGTTCATTTTATCAGGTCTCTCGTTTCACTTTAATTCTACATCTTATGTCGGATGTTTTTGGTTTCATGGTAGATGATGTTCAAGAATCAACTGCAAGAACTCGCACAAAGAAGCTGCTTTAACCTTCCTTCCTATGCCTGCATCAGAGAAGGACCCGATCATGCACCGAGGTTCAAAGCCTCGGTGAACTTCAACGGCGAGATCTTCGAAAGCCCGAGCTTCTGCCCGACGTTGAGACAGGCGGAGCACGCGGCTGCCGAGGCGGCTCTCAATGTTTTATACGTAAGAGGCCTTTCAAGGTCTCTCACTGCAAGAGTTCTCGTAAGCACTTTTTACCTTCTTGTTTCACTAGTTTTTTTTATGGTAGATGAGATTAAACAACACCCTTTTCTCTTGTATGAAGGATGAGACCGGAGTTTATAAGAATCTCCTACAGGAAACTACTCATAGAGCAGGGCTTAGACTACCTGTTTACACCACCATAAGATCAGGTCCCGGCCATAGCCCGATCTTCACTTGCAGTGTGGAATTTGCCAGCATGAGCTTCACCGGTGAGCCGGCCAAAACGAAGAAGCAAGCAGAGAAGAATGCTGCAATTGCAGCTTGGTCGGCCTTGAAAACAAGTAAGCTTCGCTTCCTAGCAGTAAGACTATACATATTTGTATCGTGGTGCATGCTTTTATCTGTACATATTTGTTCAGTGCCAAACTTGGATTCATCAACGAAAAAAGAAACCGGCGATCAAGAGGACCGAGATCAGGCAGTTGTGTCGAGAGTCCTCTCGAGCTTCAGGCCAAAAGATAACAGCAAACAGTTTAGGAGGGGGGATTATAATAACCAAGCAAAAAGAAGAATGGTCAATGGCAACAACAATGATATCATCATCCTTCCATCTTCTTCCGCCTCAGGTAAATCTCTAAATCATAAAAAATGGAGGGTTATCGATGTCTTAACGGATAGTTCGACACAAAAACGAAGCAGCAGCTTTGTATCTCTACTTCCTCCACCTCCACCAAGAACAGCTTCAAAGATCTTGCCACCAGTACAAGTTGGGGGTAAACATGAAGTGAAACCGCCTCCTCTACTTAACCAACATGATCAAGTCATCAACAAATGCATTGAGAAGGACGGTTCAAGTTCTAGTTATATCCATGGAGCAAGTACTAGTTGCTGTGGTACTGCTAAGATCAATATGCTCGACAACGCAGCAAGAACCGAAGCAAGCGAGCTTATCAGACGAATCTTTGGGTCTCCAAATCCATTGCAAATGGCACCACAACCAGAAATGGCCCGGAACATGTACACAGGAGGGTTAAACATTGCCCCGGCAGTTAAAATGAGATCAATAATCCCAGTTTGTGCTGCTCCACCCCCACCACCAAACTCAATGAAAATAGGACCAGCATCAGCAAGCTCAGTCAAGTTCAACAACTCAGACCAACTCAGTTCAGAGTTGAAGAATCTACAATTAACAAAGTAAAACTCAATGAGTTGGATTTCTAATATCTTATTATCATGTATTTTTTGTTTCTTGGATGATTTTGATATTTTTGATGGCCATGCGAGTATAATATTATAAAATTTCCAACCTCGACATTTATTAAATCACTGCATATATATATATATAGATAGAGAGAGAGAGAGAGGGCATTAAATGGGTGCTCAGGGAGGCAGATGGGGATAGCAATGAAGGGGCACATTAGAGTGTTAGAGGAGGAACAGACAATTGCAGCGATAAGCGTAAGCAATTAAGTTACCCTCACAGCAAAATATTTAATACCCTTGTCTTCGCCATTAATGCTCTTTCTCATCTTCCTTCACTCTCATTAATTGTTTATCACACTCTCTCCTTTCAATACTTTTCTTATATGTTTATGTATTTTCATCCCTCCTACTTTTATAATTTACCAGGTTTCCTGGAAATGAGTTGAGAATACTATAGTGAAATGCATGGATTTTTTTTATTTGTTTGTTTATTTTTTTTTACGAATGTTTTGAACTCCAAAGTAGCTGTTAGGACTTAGGATTAGGCTATGGGCTCATTGATACATGACATTTGTAATATCATGCTCTGGGTCGTTCGCATTAGGCTTAAATTAAAAATAAGCCCCTAAACTTTTTTTTAGTTTTTAAAATTATTTTTTATCCAATTAAGCCCTTAAACTATCATATGTAATTATTTTATGAATTATTTTTTTAATTAATTTTTTTCAATAATGAAATGTTGGCATGTCACATTAGATACTTATTTTGATAAAAAAATAATTTATAGAATTAAAGGAAAAAAAGAGTATAATTTAAGTACTTATTTTAACTAAAAATAATCTAGGTACTTAAAATGATTAATATAATAATTTAAGGATTTATTTTGACTAAAAATAATTTAGAAACTTGGAAAAAAACATATAAATTAAAATCTTAATTTTAATTTAAGCCTTCCGTTATTGGTCTTCACATGCCAAACCCTCTAATGACATAAATCAAGTTCAAGAATGTTAAATGAACACAAAAAACATTGATGTAACCGCTCAAGATAATAACTATGAATGAAGTTATGACATTTTATTATATATATGGTGACCCATTCATTTGTTCAGATAACTTTTGTTTCTCAAATATTGATTTATGGAATAAGCACATTTGGTCGATTAATCAAATTGTTTATCTTTGTTCTCTCATGTTTTTATAAGCCATGAGTTCAAACCTATTCGGAACACTCATCTTCCTTCCCCTATAGTCTCTCTTTTTCCTCCCTCCTCTGAAAATGCTCAGCATGAATTCTATCTCCCTTGCCTACTCCCACTGTTCAAGCACTTGGCGTGAATTCTCAAAAGAAACAAGAAACCCAAACTGTCAACCACCAATAATTTTGCTCTGATACTAAATGTTATAGACATAACATCTCGATCCTGCCGTTATGTCGTACGACATTTAAATGGGACAACTCCCAGACAAATCCCTTTTAATTTGATGGTATGCATGTCTAGATCAAGAGCAAAGCGCAGTCCCTGAACCATCCAAAGCTTCCATCACAAAAACACTATGAATATTTATATTTAGACGATATCCAGAGCCCAAAATCATGTCAGCACTGTCCCAAACGATGAACCCAGACCAAAAAGAGGCACCCATTATGGAGAAGTTGGCGTCAACTTTAACTTTAACAATGGGATCACTTGGAGGCAGCCAATGTAAATTTGTATACACCATGAAGTGATGAAGGCAATGAAAAAGCGTTTCAATTTCCTTCACATAGTTTCAAATGAAGGTAACTGCATCCTCTACTCATTGATAGGTATTTTCGTAGAGCATTCTATTCCTGGCATACCAAATGACCCAAATTGTAATTGCAATTTCGTTGTCATGAATTTTGTTGTGCTTTGAGAATAACCATTATACCCATTCTATAAACTCAAGAGTGCTCACATTCCTTGGCCATTGGAAACCCAAGACATTAGCACCAAAATAACATTCCTTACTAACACGCAAAGGGTCTTCGAATACCTGTTTACACCGTGGGTATAAAGAATTAGGAACAACACGCTCAATGGAAAGATTGTGCATTGTGAGAATAAAATTCCGACAAAATTTCCAGAGGAGGATTCTCTTCGAAGGGTAGGATAGGCCCCATAAGTGTTTATAAAATTGACCAGTATAGGAGTTTTGAGCCAATCATCATTTAATCATGTTTAACTCAATGTATATTAACGCGACATTAGACTTGTGAGTTAGGTCGATCGGGTTGGTTTTGTATTAAGTTGGTTTTGGGTTGAGTCATCATATATATATATATATATATATAGGGTCCATTTTGAGTTTAAGGGTTTCTATTATTGGGTTGGATCATTTCATGTTTTAATTATTTCAGGTTAAGTAAGTTGAGTTTACTTTAATGCATATATTATTTTGAGTCAAACAATTTTAAATTTTAAATTATTTTTAATTTTTATTCATATTTTTGGTTTGGACATTAGGAGACATTTGGTTTACGAAAAAGATGATAATAAGATAAAAAAAATCAAAATCTTATTTTTATGTTTAGTTTATTCTCATTCTCACCTGGTCGGGAAAAAAAACATTACCAAATAGCAGTACTTTTTGACAAGTTTCTAAGAATGTCATCTTCGTCAATTCATTAATTTTTTTTTTTTACTTTTATGTAAAAAAAAATACTCTTGAAATAAAAAGTTTTATTCATATTGACTTTATTTATTACATATTTTTAACTAAATAAGAAATAATTTGGGGTATAATTCTTCTAATGTTTTTACTACTCTAATATTTAATGTTTTTCGTAACATTATGTTATAATATCTCTAATATTATTTTTAAATATATTATTTAAATATTTAGATCATAATATAAATTCCATTGAGATAATATTTTTATTAAATTTAGTTTAAAAATAAAAATATTAAATTCAATTTTAATTTTAATTTATATTATCTACAGTTTAATATATATATATATATATATATATATATATATATATATATATGAAATCAATCAAGTTATAAATTAACTATTAGATTTATTTTAATAATTTAGGGGCTCATAAACATTCTAATTAGCTTGGGTTATTAGTCACTTTTATTTCCCTTTTTGACATTAACTAAAAATATAATATATATACGTAATTCATATCATAAATGTAGGATTGAGTCTAATGGTTAGTGTGCATCAAATTCTTCCTCCGAATTCCAGGTTTGGTTCTTCTCGGAACACCATTCTTCTTCAAAAAATTTCTTTCTCTAATCAGTGTCATCATTTAATTAGAGAATTAAATTTATTGAATTAAATTAAAATTAGATTCAAGTTGATAAGATGAGAGATAATGAGAACCAAATATGTGATTATATCAATTTTTATTAATTTTCATGCCAATTTCTCCGTCAAATGTTAATGATATATGATTTGACTAACATCATTTAAATAATCAAATGATCTAGTTGACAAAATTAAAAAATCGATATTCATATAAAAATCTTCCATAAATAAATGATCATAAGTGTAATTTATCGAATATTTCTTTATAAAATAATTTATCGAATATTTCTTTATAAAATAATTTATCGATATCTAAATTCTTACTATAAAAAGAAAATAGTACAAAATTTTCATCTAAACACCTAAAAGGTAATACATTGTCTTTTGGCAACTAACTATACGTGATCGTTATAGGTAACTAACTAGCGATAAACTCTGATATAGGGCACCATGCCAAACATTGTCTTTTGGTTGCCGTACAATCTTCGGTGGCTTCATGGATAAATTACTTATTTAATAGTTAGATAAATTACTTAAAATATATATATGAAGATTAAAAAATAATAGTATCTATTTAATTAGTTAAGTTATTAAATCAAATCATTATATTTTACTTATTATATAATTTAAATTGTCAACTATATTAATCTATTAAAAGTATATAATAGGATTAACAAGTATTATTTCATTAATTTAACAAAATGATAATTCCAACATATATATATATATATATATATATATATATATATATATTATATCATAATGGCTTATATCACAAATAAGTACCTAAAGTATACCTTCTTTTTCATTTAAGTGCAAAAAGTATTTTTTTGTTAAAATTAGTATCTAAAGTTATCTTTTTATCAAAATAGGTACATAAAGTATTCAATTCTTTTATCTAAGTTATAAAAAAGTTGACACGTGAAATTAATTAAAGAATACTTTAGGTAACTAGATGAAAAAATTGAATAATAGGTACCTATTTTTACAATAAAAATATAACTTTAGGTACTTATATTGACAAAAAATATACTTAGATGAAAAAATGATATACATTTAAGTACTTATTTATAATATAAGCCTATCACAATATATGTATAAAAAATAATAATGAATTTAAATATAATTCAAAATAATAGATTTTGTAGGATAAATTATGCATTTAGTCATTTAACTATCACTTTGATTTCGTTTTAGACACTTATTTTTTTTAAATTCATATTTAAAGTTTCATTTTAATTTTATTTTGATCGCAAGATCGTAACGTTATAAATCAAACTTAATTATTTAATATGATTAGAACCTTGTAGAAACAAGCACATGAGAAATGAATTGTAGCAGTAGCTTAAGAAATGGAGTTTGGCAACATGTTACAACAAAGGTTGACAAGTCAAAATAATGTATGATATGACCCACGTGGAGAATAAAGTGGAAGCAACTTGAATTGGAAATATGACAACATATTCACGTGAAGGAAAGTTTGAGTCGGCAAGAAGAGTTTGAAAAGTCAAAGGTAGAAATGAAACACTTGAAATTGTGTAGAATTGGACGTGACATCAATTAAAGAAAAAAGGACATGAAATTTTATTACGGCAAGCAAAGGGAATGGCGGCAAGAAGATTGAAGAAGGTTTATTATACCTATATATATATATATATATATATATATCCTATATATCCTATATATATATATCCTAAGCTTAGTTGCAATGCAAAGTGAGAAAAAAATGAAAGTTTAGAAAAGTTAGAATAAATAATAGCTT